AATGGAGCTATACGGTCCGGAGATTCAGCTGTTGTGGCACGAAGCTCATCGAGTAGCACAACGCGGTCACATGATATTTCCGCCGTTTCCAATCTGGACAGTAATGAGGCGCTCATAAATTCGAGAAGGCTAAAAGTTACATTTTCTTTTTTAATTGAAAAGAATATATTATCATTGTCTTTTACATTACAAACAATTATGATAAATATTGATTTTCATAGCTTTTAAAAGTAATCAAATGTAACTGTGTTATAGAATGATTGTTATGTCAATAGTGAATGCTAACTATTTCATGATCATTAATAATGAAGTTTAAATTGCGTTTACTGATCAAGATATGATTCGCAAGTGTCACCGTCATATAAAAAACAAAAAGAAAATTTCTTTTTTTAATGATAAGTACTTTTTGTAAACCAACTGCTATGCTGTTATTTCACTTAGATATGAATTAAGAAGCTTATAAAACAGAACAGCCAAAATTCGATTTGATGGAACAGAAAAGAAGTTACCAAAATATGAGTACAAACAATCCATGTACATATTCAGGAAGGGGTTCCTCCTTGTATTACTAATTGAAATCTATGAAGAAAGAATGATAAGATTAATCCTGATTACCTAATATAGGCACATGAATATGGCAGATCTGGAATTGGAGAGATAGCTGGTTAGGTTAGTACCTTAGTATTATACCAAAAAATTGGAGGAGGGGGAGCAAATGGTAGTACCACCGGTGAACATAAGTCAACATAAACATATTTCTCAATGATCAGAAATCCCAGTCAACATAAACATATTTCTCAATAATCAGAAATCCCATAAACAGAATATAGTTATTCCCTTGCTTCATAATTAATGTTCAAATTGATTTTGCCTTCACATTCTCTTCAAGTTTTTTTTAACAAAGATTATTACTATACTTAGTTGAGAAAACAACATATTACACGACTTAAAGTTTTACAACATCCTCCCTATTTCAGCTCTCCTGAATTTCGAGTAATCGCAATTCAAAATGATTTAATTATGAAGACTAGAATAACTCTCAATTTAGCAAACCTCACATACAGCAAAACCGTCCATGTCCAAGCATCTGCTATACCATATTATGGATCAATTTTTCTGACGCAAAATTTTGAATTCAAATAAACTCAAATACTAGTGATCTATCTTTGCAAATCTGGTATCACCTAAATCAATAATCCAAATACTTATAGAAATTGAAGTACCAATTAAAGATGGAAAGATATGCGTAACCGTGGTAAACCAGCATGGATTACGATCGAGATGACCATTCTAGCTTTTGCGGATGAAAACAATTTCGAATATGACACATTTATTGTCTCAATTATTCATCCTTAAAATACAATTGAAAACTTGACAACCGGTAAATTTTCGAAATAGAAAGGAATGAAAAGGGGAAAAGGCTAACTCCTGAAATCCATAAACATCTAATTCATTATCCTAAATCGTTACCAAAAAGAGTTCATTATATCCTCTTCTTATACTGATCAAATGACATAAGACAGGATAAATTTATAAATAAATTAGTTCAGAACGCTGAAGATAAACATAAACTCATTATCGACAATGTCCATCTATTTCAAGTGGACAACGTATTATAGGAGGTTCAAAGCATGCGGTAAGGATGATTTGGAAAATTTGAAAAAACTTTGGAGAGTTTTGCGTTAATCTTATGTATTTTCATCCTATTCTCGACACTTCTATTACATCAAAGGTTTCTTTTTGATTTTACCAAAGCCTGCTTGAACATTAAATAAAATTTTCCAATAATGGTAAGCTTCACGCAAGACATAGCAAAGGAGCTGACCAGGGGAAATGTATAATGCTAATCGTTTAATCTATTGATAAGATTGTTGATGGTATCCCTTTCCAATTTCAAAATAGGGAAAATCAGAATCAGCAAACGATAACAAGACTAAATAAAATAATAAAATAAATCTCGGACATTCAAGTTTGGAGATTTATTTTATCATTTCATCTGGTAGCTATTTATCACTTCATCCTTTAGCCTTTACGCACTGCAAAACTTTATACACTGCAAAATAATCTACACCATCATAAATAATTGTTCATATTTGACTAAATAATCACATTATGTTCATTGCAATTTAGAACAACAATTTTTCACGCTTAATTTTTTTCATTTTTTCATGCTCCAAGCTTAAATTTTTCAAATTTAGTTAAAACCCTAAAACATTATTCCTCGACTCTGCTCAAACACATTATCGTGTCGATCAATACTTTCGAGGAAGGCGACTTCAAACATAAACAAAGCTGCTTGACTGCTTCGATTTGCGTTAGGAAATACGATTTTGCTGACTTTGCATTAAGTTCCAAATACGCGACACAAACATTTTGTAGCACTTGAGCCAACGGTACCCATGTTCGTCCACATCCAACATTCTGCAATGCTTATTAATCAACAAAGTGTTTTGCGAAGGCAAACAAAATCCTTAATTTGTGATTAAATATACAAATAACTTGATTTAAGCTCAAATGCTTATTTAATTCAATTTCGAATTCATTTGTAATCAAACAAATTCGTTCATTCTGAAATGCTTGTTTCAGTTTTGTTCATCGCTTGCATCATGTGGTTTACCTGCCAGTACCTAATGCTATGAAAATCCAATAGCATCATAATCATAGACACTGTTCAGAAAATTGATTCATAACGTCATATTTGCACTACTTTCCAATGGCTTAATAGCTTAATATGGATTAAAAACGCTATCAACTGGATGGATGGATAAAACACATGAAAAACACTTTCTGTTCTTTCGCTTACTTTAAGCGACGGTAACAATGATAGTAGCAAAGAACAAAAACAGACTTCAAAAAGAGTGAAAAATGTCTGCAAAATGGATTGCAAGCGATCAGCTTCTTCGAAAGACTGAGGAGCCAAATCTAACAATAATTTTGGAATATACAGTAATAAGGACTGGTAACTGTTTGTTCGTAGTTGTCGGGCTGGGAGTTGTGCAACTGATGCTAAGCAGGCGGACAGCAATGGTAAATGCCTGAAATGATATTATTCTAACATTATTCTGTAATACCATTCTGTTTTTCGATAGCATAAACAGCGGACTTTCTACTCCATAGAGATTACTCATACGAAAAATTTGCATTATACAGAAAAATCTATTACTTATCAGCTTGTTTGTTTCGGAAAAGCAAGGGAATTGTGAAATATGACAAATGCTGGGAAGTAAACTTTACAGCAAAAAAACTGCAACATTTGCATAGGAAGTGAAAATTGGCCGACATTAAAGAATGAGATTCATATGCTATATTAACTGATATTCTTTTCGCTTTCTACCGTACGAACAAACTAGAGCTAGAGCTTCTCTGTTAAAGAATTGAAATCATTAAGAAAACAATATGATTAACTCCCTCATCAAAAAATATTTGAATTAATCAACGTCTAACCTCAATACGACACATGGTTGACTGCGCGTAATTTGAGCCAATGTACTGATCTTATGATCAATTGAACATGCAGGCGTAGCTGCGGCAGAAAATAATTCCACAATAGCATTGTGGACTGTCCGATCTTGGATGCAAACGGAACGATATGAGTCGATCACTATTGCATCGTTTTTTAGTCGAGCATCTTAAATATATTTGAAAAGTGCAACAAAATTATATTAGTGATTAATAACAATTCCAGTAACTCTAGTTCGCCTTTTTCCCGATAAGATTTTACACCGAATATTGCATGAATATAATAGAAATCATTGTTAAACACAATGTTAGTGTCGAATCGTTCCTTTAACATATAGGATAGCCAATTACGAGTAGCGAGAATTATTTTTAAAAACAAATTCAATAGAAAAAAATTCGACTCTTCCATAAAACAATACAAAGAAAAAAAAAGTAAAAAATCTAGAGGTCTTGGCAGCATTCAAGAAAATAAAAGGAGCAGGCTTTGACGCTATTTAAAATTGAATAGCAATAAATCAAATGTAACCTGGAAAACGTTTCACAAAAGCATCAGCTATCTGCTGTGCAAAACGTTTCCGTTGAATATTGTCTGGCGAAGATAAAACACGGGAAACTTCAGCTATCATACCTTGTGTTAAGTCGCCTGGAAAAAAAATCTTGGGGATTTTGAAATAATAAAAAACCATCCTATTCTTCATTATCCCAGAAGTATTTAGATTTAGTCAGAGGCAGTCTCAAATCAAACAAGATACACGAATCTAATCAAATGTTAGATATGAAAGCAATAGAATAATTAAATAACGGATGTGAAACAAAGAGGATAATAACAAATAACATACGCCGAATATTTGCATTATTTTCCAGAAATTTCATTAACAACGTTATAACATCATTTGGATGACATTCCATTTCAGCCAAAACATATTGGATGAAAACACTGCATTGCTCAGTCGAAAGTACATATGTTTTAGAAGCATGGAAAGCACTGATAACAGTTCGTATAACTGATATGCCTGTAAATCTGCAACGAAATGGCTATACTTACAATGTTTACAATGCTTTTATAAAAACTCAGTAAGGCTCACCCATCAGTCATTTTCACAAGAGACATAAGAGACGAATAACTATTCAGACATTTATTTGATCCCTTTTGCAAGCAATATATTTTGCTGGATATTACCGTATTTTCACGTTCCAAAAAGGAACAGTGGTAGAAGGATGAACAGATGAAAATCTCAAAGTGGAATTACAATTTAGCAAATTTTAACTTCAAAGAACTTACTGAGATCGATATGATTCAAGCAGATACTCAATTATTTTACTCAAAGTGGCTGAAGAACACGCTGTCGGCAGCAACGAAATGATATATTGTAAGGTTGGTGCTTTGGATGAAAATAATATTTCCAGTATGGTATGAGATTTACTACCAAGATCACCATCATCTTTATGAGGTAATATTTCCGGACATGTGTCCAGAAATCTTTCCATCAAACGGCTTTGCATATCATCCTGTGAGAAGCAGCTTCCATGATGATATATAGCGCTATAGATTATGCATGAACACACAAAATAACCATGGAGGCTTTTAGAGTAAATAGTTAAACAACCGGTAAAAGAAGCACAAAATATGTGCAACCAAAGAATTAGTCTCAAATATACCTAATACCTGGAATTTCTCAATAAAATATTTTACGGATGAACATCAACTAACCATGCCAACAGAATTTGCTAGACGCATGAGGATACTTTCCGGATCATATGTATCGTAATTTGGCGAGCATGGACTTTCCGTTTCGATCGCATATTCTATAAATTTACATTTTCAAGTCAAAAAATTCTTTACGGAAAAATAATATTTAGATTTAGTAACAATGAGCATGATGTGGTGATAAAGAGAAAGAGGTAATTTAATGAAAATTAAGCTCCAAGTAATTGAACAAAAAATAACAGTAAAACTAACCTCCACCACGACTATACAAAATCCTGCGTACAGATTCTGGAATATGAAGATCAGATTTGTTGATCACACTGTTGAACAAGGAATCAAAATCGCTGATTAATGAAGCATCCTAAAATATTCGTATCTTGATACCAATTTTATCTTATGTTTAATCACGCTTCAAGTAATTGCACAAGAAAGTTATTACTTTCTTGTTCAATAAAAAGTAAAACACACCTCCAGGTCAAGGACTAGGTAACAGATTCATTTTTTCTCGAAAAATTACGGAATTGTAATCATCGAAGCGACTAGATTAAGCATAAAACAGAATCGAGGGAAAACTGCAATCAAATTGAAGCGCCTTAACTATTAAATTAGAAGCGATCCCCGACCAGTCTATTAAATGCATGTAGAAAACACGACCGATTTTTTAAGATTGGTTAAAACTACCAAAAATTTACTTTATTCCTCGAAATAACTAGCGAGATCAGTAACGGTACCGCAACTGCTGCAACGGATAATATAGTCGGCTTAGCTTTCAACAAAGAAATAACAGCTCGAGAACATTCCAAGTTGTTTGACAGTTCAAAAATTACCGACGACCATTTTTCCGGTTCGCTGCCTTCTTGGATTGCCTACAAAATGATGGATTCTTTAACTTAATCAAAGTATGGCTTATTTATTCTCTTTATATCATCTTCATCATATCAACTACTTATAAAAGTAAAAAAGACTTGCTGCTATGTCCAAATGTACATATCTTAGCAAAACAAAAAGCAAAGATAGCATACATCTTTTGTAATATCACTTCTATTAAACAACAGTCAAAGTGCATTCAAAAACTGCTGACAAATGCGATTTAATAAAAAGTTGATGACCATAGTTTTTTACAATTTTTTAAGTTTTATTAATTCGACGTAATTTGTAAAAATTTTTAATCACATGCCCAGATATATTTGAAACTTGAAGATAGAACTTAGAACAAGATTAAATCTGGAATTTCTACCTGTTCAATACAACTGATTACTTCCTTGACATTCATATGATCAAATGTTAATCGTTTCACATCAACATCATCCGTATCGAATACTGTTGCCGTTGAATTCAATTCTATACCGATATCACTTTCATCAACTTCCTTTTTTACACATTCTTGTAGATTTTTTGCTTCAGCTACACGTTTAAGAAACTATAATGGCTGATGAAAATTGAAATTTGAGCTTTAATTTCTCAATGAATTTAATTAACTGGAAAGAAAGAAGAACATATATTTGTGGTTCCAATTCCACCTGCAGACAGAAGTGTAAGATATTCCAGCTAAAGCTTGCTTTCAACGTCTAAATTTCGATTTTGATTATGCTATCCTAAAATACACTTCTTGAAATTTGCTAAGATAATGTGTTGTAAACAAGATGACTATATGAATATTTCATTTTACCTTCCTATACTGTAAAAAAAAGTCAAAACTCTACCTTCATGAGATTATTTTTGTTATATCTCGAAATAAATAAACTATTAATATGAAACTTATTCGAAATTAACTAGAAAAAATTAATTTATCTTAATTAAATTACAGAGCAAAACTTTAATATACTATACAAGCGATGAAGCGTAAGAAATTCTACCTTTTCACCACCTTTGGCGTTTCGCAATTTATAACTTCGGACAAACATTGATGCTCTTTGAGCTTCTTCTAGCAAGTCACCTTCCAACGGTGTTTCATCAGCATCTAGAATTGCTAGCAGCTTTGTGCAACTGTATGATGTCAGTGCAAATGACTGAACAAATTTCAAAGCATCTCTAACTTGCATATCATCCATTGCAACCTAAAAAAAGAACACTATATTGAAGCAGAAAATTGAACTTGATAACTTATTAAATTAAACTGAACCCAGCAAATTGAATCTGAAAGGATGAATTTATTAAATTCCATTCCAAAATGCTGGTGGATTTAGCAAATCCTTCCTCTTAGGACCTATAATTCCTCCCATTAGACTTTCTTACTTGATTTTATACGACAATACTTTCTGTTTGGCAACGAGTTAATTAACAAATTTTCTCTTTGTTGCAATCACAAAAAGGTTTTCAAAATACTTTTCAAAACACTGTTGCAAAACATTGCAAAAGCATCAGCAAAGAAATTTGTAATTTTTGCAAAATATATAATGCGACGTAAACAAAAGTCAGATAAGACTCGGCATCATATATCATAATTCTTCCTTATACAGCAACTGATTAGGGGATAGTCACTACATCAATTCAAAAATATGAGGATTCAAATTCTAAAAGTTGGAAATCTAATTTCAGATAGTTTATATAACTCGTTACTTGTACATAAGTGAATAAATACAGTATGAAAATCCGGAAGATTCTGCCAAGTGCATCAGTAGTCTGTACAAACTTAAGCAGTCCTAGTAATGAACCAAAAAACAAATTAATAAATAAGACTAACGCGAATGATTCGATCATCTTCAGTGCGAAGCATTTTAAGTTTCAACCAAGTGGGTAAAAGTTCAACACCATCCGCATTGAGAACCTTTAAAAAATGAGGTATCAACTACGGAACAACTTACAAACATTAAACACTAAAATTTACTGAAGATATACGCCATGATTCTGTACCTTTGGTCGTCTTCCTGATGCTGGAAACCAAAGATCCATGAGAACTCGTGTAGCTAACTTATCCTTCTTCTTCCACTGACTGCACAATAATTGCAGCATCCCACTAACAGCTGTTGAAATCATCGTTAATGAGCATATCTTCTAGAACAATATCAGTGAATTAATGATGAATCACGAAGATAACCTAAGGAAATTATCATGAATGTTTGAAGATTTTCTGGTTACTACCACTATTTAAATAATTATTTACATTATTAACTGATACTCGAAGTTATTTGAGTGAAGTTATTTGAATGATTTAACCGATATTTAGAAGCCAATATAAGTTAATTAGCACTGAAAAATATTACGTTAGAGATTTAGGAACCAAGCAAATATGACTCACAAATATTACTGCAATACTGTTAGAGATTTACGGACCAAACAAAAATAAGTAAACGCAGATTATGATTTACTTAACTCAACAACTTCTAATCTTAACTCTCGAAATCACCTACGAAAAAGTACCAAGAATAAGGAACGTCAAGATAAAGTGAAAGTAATGATACCATATCTGGTTTCTCAATGCAAACTGTCACTTTTTTAACATTTGCTGGTAAAAGTGCTTCTAATTCTTCTGTCCATTCAGCTTCATTTTGCTCAACTTCCTTGAAATATCTTTCATAGAAGCTTATGGCATTTATTCGAATGATATCTGCTTCTGTGCCATCTTTTAGCCGCTCAACCATATTTGAAATGTAATGTGCGACCTGAAAATCATTCCCCCTAGAATAATTATAAGCGTAACAATGTAATGATAGAACATTTTCGGGCCAGTCTGGCAACAAAGCATATTTCTTCATCGGCATTTCAAGTTTCGTGCTCGTATGTATCACGAAGTAATTGGCGGTTTCTGGGATATTATCCTAACCAATCTTTAAATAAGATCACCTAAATAACAGTATAAGGCAACACTAGTTAAATGGTCAGCTTTTCAAACGATGAAAGTCGAATACAATATAATCAACAGAATACTCACCAAATGTAAATTTTTCGAGTCTGCATATTCGAAAAGAAATGTCAAGTAATCCGATAAACGATTTAAGTCGGTTTCCACTGAGCAGGCTTGTGATAAAAGAGCACAAATTCGATGCTAAAAAGAACAGAAAAACAAAATCAACGAATAAGATAGCTTCAATGAGAAAAAATGATTCCACTTATAACGAAAGAATCAAAAAACTAATCCATTGAATTGTAATTATACAGAGATCTACGAAGAAGAAGATATGAAACCTTTAATTCATTAAAATATGCGACTTTATGAAGATTTCCGGCTGGTGCTGCATTTGCTGTTATTGGCAATACTTGTGTATTTGTCTCATGCTGCAAATGGATGTATGATTCTTATTTATTTCATTTACTACATATTCTAAAGCAGCAAAATTTCAAACATCTTTGTAAAAACAATTACCATCACCTCAACACAAAAATGAAGAGCTTACATCAAGAAGTAATGCCAGTGAATGAGCGGCAGCACAACGTTCGGACGCCGAGTGAGCAGCAAGATGTACTGCCAGATATTCCAGTGTTTCCAATACTGAAGCTCTGGTAGCAGTAGGACTCGTTATGGCATTATGTAAACGCTGACGCATCTAAATTGAGCATTAATTGCAAAATATATCTTCTACAATGAATGTTAAAAAAATTGTGATTTTTGAGCTGTACCACTAATTTTAGGATGTGTTCAGATCATATGTTAAAAGGACATATGATCCTTTAAATCTCGAGAATCTACCTACGTCTTTTCCATTTCCTGTCACGTGAATTAGACTTAAGCTGGTACCCTTCTACAACAAACAAAAGGATGCAAATAATATCATATTCCTAGTTTGATATGCTTCTTTTATTTAATGCTAACAACAAAGTAGCACACAGGGGATCCCTGTGATTTTATTACAAGGCTCAAAACACCAATCATTAAGTGACAATTCAAAGCCACTAACCGCATCCAACCTTTCCATGTTTGGTGTCATACTACTATAACATGACGAAGAGGAAGCTATATAGTGCAGAAACAGCTCACAAATACATTCGAGAGGTAAATGAGCTATAGCGTTTGAGTTTGATTCCACCAAATTTATTATAGATGGTAAAGCTTTCGAGCTACCCTGAAAAAATTGCATCAGTTGGAACTAAAAAGGAGATACGATGTGTTAAAGAATGATGTCGTCATTTTTCACGCAACAGAAATACAGACTTATCAAAAATTAGCAACAAACCTGAGATCTGACAATATCTGCTAGCAAATCAGGATCCCTACATTCGCTCAAAAGTCGTGACAAATCTAAATCTTCATTGAGTTTTTCCAAATCACGCATGATGTTATCCGGAAGCCGTCGGCAGACGCCACTAAAATTCAAAAATTAAATTTGGTACAACACGAATGAGCAGTCATCCATGAGTACATGTTTGACGTACTAAAGAAAATAACCTTTATCATCCATGACTATAAGATTGACATTCTTGTAACTATCACCACAGTTCAGTAACTCACAAGAGTATGGTCACCGCTAGGAAAATCAGCTGATCACAAATTAGAAATAGAAAATTAAAATGAAGAAGGAAAATCGACTGACTTTATATCCAGGCTGCATAGTTTGTTCAGAAGCTTTGAATCTGAATCACTCACTTCCATTCCGGCCAGTCGAGCTTCCAAAGTTTTGATTGTCATTTTTTCCTCATAAGCAGCCTTTTCATCATCTTCAACTAGTTTGTCTGCATATATTCGATCACCCATAGTTGCCATCGGTGGAAATGAATAATCCCTGAATTCGCTGATATTTAATTATAAATGTATAACTTCACCCTGCGTGACACTTGAACATCTCTCATAATCTTCCAGAATGAATCCTCCAATTCCGAAATTTCATCAACGCAGTCCAATGACATTATGCAAAATTATCATATTATTTAACACACACTTTTTAAAATAACTTACCATGTCAAAACAATTTGTATGATAAGTTTTAAATTTGGATACTTGTAGTACACCTCCTTAACCAATGTATCTATGTTTTGTGATGTCCATATCAATGAAATGAGCCATGCTTTCCAATACAGCGTTCTAACCGCCAACGTTGGAAGATCTTCACTGAAAAAAACGAAAAAGGTAGAGATGAAAACCTTCAAGTTCGTGTGTAGAAAATTTTTACAAAGTAATATTCACTCCTGAATATTGAAAGTTGGCGGTGGTCTGTATTCCGTTATTTTGAATAGATTTTCCAATAGAGTACAACTGCTGACTGGAACCATACTACCACCTACAACTGATAAGTTAATTTGCAAAAAAAATTGGTAGCTTCAATGAAGTCACTAGGTATGTTAATATCCGTCAAACAGAATTATAGGAAATATGTACTGCACTGATTCTCTACAATTATCAAGAATTACCACACTATTCTATCCTTCTAGCAAACATCTGTCACTTAAGCTCACCAATCAGAACTGTATAATCATTATGGCATCATATAATTTAAACTACGTGAACTTAGTCGGTAACGTAT